TTTACCCATATTCTATCGCGATATTTCATTTTCCTATCGTTGCCCAAAATTACACCAGTATTACCGTGAACGGTATGATATAGCCCAGCCCTACGTATAATCAATTTCAATCCAAAAGACAAAACAGCAATCATCAGTAACAACAGCACAAGTTGTGCTGTTTTTTTTGAGATGCTAGAGGAATGTCTCTGTTTTGTTTAGAAGCACATTATAAAAAGGAATTAATTGAGACATAAATTTATACCTAAAGTTTCTCAGCACAGTGTGAAAGGTAGGAACATTACTCATCACAGGTATCTGAGTTGCACTTGCCCATCTTTGAAGCTTGTGGATCAAGCTATATGCTACACATATATAACAGAACATTCCTGATGATGTGACTTTAATATCTGACTTTAGTCACCACATTTAAAACTTGATATTGAAACAGAATGAGGGAACAATGTGGTCAAAGCGATCAATATTACGGGACGCTTAGATTTGAACTCAGTATCACACGTCGACATCCACAACTTGAGCAGCTGCTGCAGCTGCCACTATAAGGAGACAAATGATCAGCATGCATCATATGATTAATAATGCTCTCTGCATTCATACATTCAGTATTCTGCTTCTTTAATGTTTTAGAAAGTTCATCATACCAACTGAACAGAACAAGGTCCCACCTTTTCAAACCCTGCTTTTTACTCCTGCCACCCTGGACTTACAGAGTTTGATGTGGATACCAGTAATATTTAACATCTTTTCCAGATATGAGCCCGTGCTCTTGTAACTTAGTCAATAATTTACAATAATTAATATGGTCAAAAGCTTTTGATTTTGAGGAAGCACATAAATATAGTTGGGTTTTGCCTGTTATACTTGTAAACATCTTATGTGCACAGTTAAACTGTCTTTAAGTCAGACAGAGATCATACTTGTAAAACAAACGCTTCTGACAAAAAGGCAAGAGGCACAAACAAAAAGAACATTAAGAATTACTCTTAAATTTTTCTAAGAGGAAATCAGGTGGTATTAATTATAAATAACACATCTGCCTCCTGCATCCCGTCCCCTTCATTTACAGTATGATCGGTATTACTCTTCTGGATTCATATTTCATGGTAAACTTGGAAGTTTACCTGCTTCATTGGTATGAGAGGCCAAATACGAGCGCTCTCTCTGGCCAAACTGAGCTGATTATGGCTAAGTGCCGGTATGTGTTCTGGCTCAGCAGGATCAAATGTGTTTGTCAGATTTGGCTGTTTTTAAACTTATTTATCCTCTGAATGTGTTGCAGTTTGCAGCAAAAGGGCAAACGATCAAAGAGTAAATAGGAGAGCAAAGATGGATACTGATCATGTGTGTGCCCTCTGTCCCACCTCAGCATCTACGGCTGCCCGCTGGCCAAGAAGAGGAAGGCTCTGGAAAAACAACCACTGGAACCGGCTGCCAAGAGGAGGCCCTTCCTCACCTCCTGCCCGGGTGAGTTGGAGGAGGATGCTGGCAGCTATGGCAGCTATGGGAACGAAGCCATGGAGGTGGGGCAGGAGGGGAAGGAGCAAGGGGAGGTAGTTGAAGAGGACGAGGAGGAGGATGAAGGGGAGAGGGAAAGAGATGAAGAAGAAGAAGAAGAAGATGGCGAGGTGGAAGACGAGTTCTCTGAGGACAACGAAGAGCAGGGAGAAGAAGAGGAGGAGGAAGAGGAAGAAGAGGAGATAGAGGTGGAGAGAACAGATACAGCAATGGAGGGTGAGCAGGTGGAGGAAGAGGAAGACGGGATGGATGAGGAAGAGGAGGAAGACGGCTATGACGAGGAGGAGCAAGATGATGAGGGAGAGGAAGACGAGGAAGAAGAGGAAGAGGAGGAGCAGCGTCGTCAGCAGGGTGAGTGTGCGGTTTGTTACTTTAGTTGCTTGGATGAGAAACAGATGAAGGACACGAGCCACGTCATAGTTTTGCTTTGGTTCGTGCAGATTAAACGAGTTGCTTTTCAGGATCTGGAGCTCCAATCAGGAAGAAGAGTTTATTGTTTCAGCAACTACGTAGCCTAATGGCCTTCATTGTTGTGTTTTTCATTTCACAATCTGCCAAATGTTTCCATCTAGTGACAGGTCGAGACTGCCTAACTGCCAAATGGTCTGAAGGTCACGGCCATTCAAAAACTACAGCATTGCCACACAGTGATTTTTGATTCTCTGAAACTTTTAAAAGCCTTGAGTACATTATGTGATAAAATTCCCAAAATTCTAGAGAATTTGTTTAAATTTCAGGTAATCGTACAGGACACAATACAGGACACAGACAAAATAACTAAAAGTGAACTTTTTTTTAGGTTGAATGCAAAAGTCCACAAAAGTCCACAGGCCTTAAATCCATGAATAGCAAATGTGGACAAAGACTAGATCACGGAACAAACAGACAACCAACAGAGTGTAGACAGGTCTATATATACTCTAAGGGTAATCAGGGAAGTGGGAAGACACAGAGGAGGAGAGAAGAATACTCAAGTAGGAAGTCTATAACTAACACAAACACCTAACACACAGAAAACTTACAAAATCCACAAATTATAAATAACACCTAGGAAACTGTCGAGACTAGTAAAAAAGAGAAATCAAACCTTGAGGAATAGTTAAACTCAAATACAAATAAAAATTCAAAAATACATGAAAGTCAAGAAGCAAACTGATCATAAAAACACAAAAAGAATTCAAAATCCCAAACTCAAAAATCCTGCGTCCAAAACCCACAACCGTGATGTGAATTGAATTTTTTTTTAAAATTGGGTTACTCTTTGTATATCTAATAATGATACTGACATCTTCCCACTTACTTATGCAATGCACCACCATTTGTTTTTCAGTATTACACAGCTTTTCCAGTCCTTTGTTCCAACCTCTATAAAACACATTGCCTGTTTCAAAATGACAAAATGAGTTTATATTTGTAAAAACGCTGTGACATTTTTCCCATTCAACAGCTGATGGGTTGTCCTTGTGTCCCTTTCAATTAAATATAGGACTTAAATGATTTTCAAATCACGACTTTCTCTCTTTATTTTAACACTTCGTCCTTACATCTTTGGAAATAGGGTTGGAGAATAATCAACACTTGAGTCATTTAAAAAAAAGGAATGTACAACAGTGTCATGCTGGCAGTTAAATTCATAAAGTGAACTGAAAATCAAGGTGGAGTGGCAGGTGGTTAAATGAAAAAGTACTGTAGTGAATAACTGAACCACTGCTGATGCATGGTTTATCAGTATAGCACATTTCAACGACAAAAGGCCTTGGGGTAAAACAAGCAAAACGAGACAATGCAGATAAAAGAAATTAAAAGAAAAAAGAATAAAAATTTGCAGTTTAGAGAAGAGCAGCTTTTTGTATTAATCAAAAACTGCAAGAACTGATTCAGATGTCGAGTACACAAAGACTGACAAGCTGCAGACTAAAGAGTGAAAGACAGTAAGACACAGGTGAAGTCAAGATTATAATGATTATAGGAGAAGGAACAAAGGAGAAAGCAAACAAAGAGAACCTTTAAAATAAAACAGGAAGTAAGTAAAAAAAAAAAAAGGGAGAAAGAACAACCCAGAAAAACGCAGAGAGCACATGGAAGGAAAAGACAGGCTCAATATTATAGCTAAGCTTAGAACAAAGCAACAGAAAGAACACATGGGCTTGCTAAACAAATGCTGTAAACATTTGTTGTTGTTGCACTTTTCATGAAACCGGTGCTTCTGGCCGGGACATGCCTTCAGTGTTGTGTGCCAGATATTCTGCGAGCACTGCAGCTCGATCCGTGACGGGGCCACCGTGTTTGTGCAGATTCGTGGAACTTTTCCAACCTACAACACGTAAAGATGCCAAAAAGCTGTCGAATTAACAGATGGATAAACGCAGCAATGTCGCAGATATTCAGGTCTTGTTCTGTGTCGCGCTGATGTCCACTTTTGCATGCGGTTTGCAGAAGGAGAGGACTAAGTGATGAGTGCTGCTGAGGAGGGTTTGGTAGACCAGATGCTCTGCGCTCTCCCTCCCACCTCGCTTCCTCCTCTCCCCCCAAACACCCCCCGTGTCCTCAATCGCTTCTGACAGTGCCTCACGAATAAATGGGAGAGGAGCTCTGCTGAGTTATTAACTCGCTCCCCCCCCCCCTCCTCGTTTGCCTCCTCGTCTCGGCGGACGTGTCACATGTGCTCTGCCTCGGTTTCTCCTCCTGAGGATATTTATGGCTCCTGAATCGGAGCACCTCACACGCCTCCCTTTTCAATTTCTCTGCTCTCATTCGCCGCCTCTGTCCCCAAAATCAACAGCGAGGCTTATCGGAGAGAGCGACACTGCCGCGCACCGCTCTGGGTTGTATGTTTTTTGTGGGTAAACAGTGGATCATAATTGGGAGGCATGAAGATAATACAGGCGAGAATATAACAGGGAAAAAAAAGAGTTCATCAGCACTGCTGACATGATTAGAGGATAAGGGTTTCATTTCCACTTCATCTGCAGGATTTTGATTCTATAAATGGACTGATAGTTGTGTTACCTGCAAAACAAATCACTTTCCCTCACATTTTTCACAAATTACCTGCTGTTTATGTTGCGTATAGCGTGGGTTATTGCGGGAAACTTTTCTTGGCTGCGTTGTGAGATTCCTGAACAGTATCAAAACAAAGGGATTTGTTTCTTGCTTTCCTGATTGCAGAGAACCACTACAAACCCGGTGGACAATCAAAGCTCATTCCAATTCAGAAGGACGACAACAACAACAACAGCTGTACCATCAGCGCCGGTAACGGCACCGGAGAGGAGTACGAGAACTACGACGAGCTGGTTGCCAAGTCACTTCTCAACCTTGGCAAGATCGCCGAGGATGCTGCCTACCAGGCCATGACCGAGTCCGAGATGAACAGCAACTCCTCCAACAGCGCCGGGGAAGACGACGATGACGAAGAGGACGACGGCAGCGAGCAGGGCGAGAGGAAGGGTGAGCTGAGCGTGGACTTGGACAGCGACGTGGTCAGGGAGACGGTGGACTCCCTGAAGCTTCTGGCGCAGGGTCACGGCGCCATGCTGCCTGAAGACGGCTACCCCGAAGACACCATGGTGAACGACGGCAGCCATACAAACGGGCGGCCCGGCATGGGAGTCAGGGGTCAGACTGAGGAGAGCGAGGAGGAGGTGTGTCTCAGTAGCCTAGAGTGTCTGAGGAATCAGTGCTTTGATTTGGCCCGGAAGCTGAGTGAGACTCAGCCGTCTGATCGTCCTGTCCACCACGTTCTCCACCACCAACTCCAACATCCAGCAGACCACCAGGGGGTGCACCACCTGAACAGGTAGATAATCTCTTAAGGGTTCACAGATATGATTTTAAGATTAAAATAATATGCACATTACCTCTGCCTGCCTTTGAAATATGTTGACCTCATTATTGAAATCTTTGGTCATGTTTAACATGAGCATCTACAAGTAAACAAGGAAAAACATAGTAGGTAGCTTTTCAAAATTACATAGATGGTACTGATGGTACTTAAACGATACAGCAGTAACGTAGTAGTTCTTATGCAAGCATGCACGCATGGAAAGGGTAGAGGGCACTCTTCTTCCATAGCCAACGGCAAACTAAAACTTGTAGTCCTTCTGATACGTGTTTCTGTTCATGAATGGCGGGACAGAGATATCACTAGCAAAGAAAGCATAGATAAAAGTGCTTCCATGAATGGGTGAATGAGGCAAGTTGCATAAAGTGCTCTGAGTGCTCACAGTAGAAAAACGCCATAAAAGAACCAGTTTATTAACCATTTACTATCAGTAATGCATGAAGTGTGAGGATTTGCATAAACAGTGCAATGTAAACAATGTTATGTTTTCAGTTTGGCCTGTCTCCCCCTTGAAGGCTGTCTTCCTGTGCATTTCTGGATCTCTTCCTGTATTCCTTTAATTCTTTGCCCTTGCAGCTGTCATGCTGCTTGTCCTCCACTGACTCTAAATGTGAACTTTTAAGTTTAATTCCATTTTGATGCAAAGGACAAACCACAGGGAGCTTGTGGGTAGCTTGGGTTTTGGGTGTGTAGGATAAAGCAAACTAAAGCACTATTCCTCGAAAATTTCAGACTATGCTATACTGAAAAATGAAAATTGCTGTTTGCATTCTGAGCTATAGCCTCACACCGGCTCACATTTATAATGATGATCCACAAAATAAAACTCAAGGTGATACAGAAGTCAGACAGTGAAGTATCAAACGCGCACCTGCAGGGGATCGTTCTGAATATAATGCTCTGCATGGTCCAGAGGTGCACAAAGAGACAGCCTTGAAGGGGAGGTCGGACACCTTAATCAGTTTTTTGTGGGCACGGTCAGAAGACCTTTGATTTATCTTTATATTAGTCCTCCTTTTTAAATGTGAAAATGTACTTTCACAAACTTTTTAAATATTACATTTTTATAATTATTAAACATTCAATTACAGGTTTCATTTGTAACGTTGCGGGATCTACTTTTGACTCCTTTTAAAACATAACTTTATCCTTTTTAATATTTGATAACATTTTTTACTTTGACTGTTGAGCATACATTGTATAGGTAGCCTTGCTTCTTAAACTTCAAGGTAGCTCCAACAACAACAGTTCCTAAATTATTTCAGAAAGTTTTTTTTAATAAAATCAAAACTGTAATAAACTTTTTTGTAGGATACAGCTGAATTTGCAAAATTGTGACCCTTCATTCAAGTTCATTTAGTTGAATAAGTTAGGAAATATAAAACATCCTTTTGATAACCTTTCCACATATTTGCATCTTGACTTTATTCGTGCAAACATTCAGGTATGACAGCTGCCAGCAGGGTGCACAAGACGAGCCCCGGTCTCTGGAGCGCAGCTACTCCGACATGGTGAACTTAATGAAACTGGAGGAGCAGCTGAGCCCGGCGTCCCGAGGCTACCCGACCAGCTGCAGCCAGGAGGGCGACGAGGACACCACATCTGTGGCCTCCGACCGCTCGGACGAGACCTTCGACATGGCCAAGGGAAACCTGTCGCTGCTGGAGAAGGCCATCGCACTGGAATCAGAGAGGGCAAAGGTCATGAGGGACCGGATGGCCTCGGAGCACGCGATGCCCCGTCGGGATCACCACCACCATCATCATCGCGGCCACGGCGAGCACAGCCCAAGGCTGAGTAGCGCTGCAGAGGAGCGCAGGTCCAGGATGCAGCAGGATGGGTTGAAGAGGGCGTACTACCCTAAAGGTAGGCAAGGAAAAACCCACACACTGACCCTGTCTGTGTTATTATCGATCTGCACTCGGCAAACTTGGAAAACTATACTGTAGCATATGTCGATTTTCCATGTTCCATGTGTCAGGACGGTTAAGTAGTTTGGAGCCAACTTAAGGATCTTTTAGGCGTCATTGCTGTTTCGACTTCCAGGGTAAGATGTTGTGTAACACGTTTAAATTGGAAACGTTCCTTCATGTTCACGAGGAGTCTTTTCTTCATTCACACGGTCCTGCATCTGGTTTTTCATGCCAGGACTATTTTTACCACAAAAGCCTGGACACCGAGAAACGAATTTAGTTCAGTCAGTCCTCTGTAGTTTGAAACGATCACGCTGCATCTGGTCAAAATAAACTTCCTAAAAGAAATGTGCCTTTAATTCAGCAGTAAAGGTTATATGTGATGGTAATGAATAGGGTTCATTATGTAGTGGTTTTACTTCCATGTTTCCTCTTTTACTTTTGTAAAACTGCTGTTTTGCTCTTTGTCCTACGGTAAGCTTATATGCCGTGTATGTATGTTAGCGCTTTGTGGCTCCTGTCTGAGAAATAGATATTGCTTGCATTCCTGCTCCTTCTAACCTATTACTATATTCACAAAGTTGTCAAATAATCATGCTTCTCTTTAAATTCTGCCAGTTTCCCATCACCTTTTCACATCATATTTAACCATAGCCATATTTAACTCAAAAATGTTGACCCCGGGTCAGCAGAGAGGGCGTTTATCTTGTCTGTCTGACTTATTGAAACCCTCAGTACAGCAGCAGCCAGGGGCTATTAGTGCTGCAGCAGGAAAAAAATAATACATAAAAGTAACTTTAATGTCTTTTCCTCCCTGATTTGAGCATTTTTACGGACACTGCTGGACTGAATGAGTTTTCTGACCTCTGGGCTTGGTTAAAATCCGGCTGTGTTATTTCAGAAATGTTGTACATGGCTGCAGACGAGGTAATGGGCACTCATTTTCTGCATTCAGGGCTATACACAATTTAGTTTTTTTTTTTATTTTGCAGATGCATGGTTTTCCACTGACAGCAGCTTATGTTGTTAAAATAGGCCGGTGTGGGAACATCAGACGGCCAACTTGTCAGGCATGAGTAATGGCAATCTGCACGGCCCGTTAGAAGAGCAAATCTCATCTGTGGGACGCTATCTGCGGCCTATTTCTCCAAATCCACTCATATACAACCCCACTACCACTGGTAGGGAGTCGGCACTGTGCGGTTATCATCCTCACTACAGACTCAGATGGGCTTCAGACTGTTTCATTAGCACAGAGAGAGTCTTTGTTAACCCATAAGAAGCTGTTATTAGTCCAAAGGAAGGCTTTTATTATGATGTCTGCATCTGTGCAAGGACAGCTTCACCTATTCAGCCTGATATTGTGGTTTCTTGTTGGGAGAGGGCCTATTTTGTTCTGTTTGTCCCGACTTAGTCAGTGATTTGCAGCATGCACACCCAAGTGAATCTCATCCGTGCTTGCTAGCTGAGATAATGAGTTATCTATGTAGGAGGATGATGCTTAATTCGGCATGATAAGCTCTGATTGATCAATTGTTTCTTGAACCAAATGAAGCAGCCATCAGTGGATCCAATATCACACCTACAGTGTTTGCCTTGCTAAACAAATCTGAGTTGTGGGTGGTTTTTAAGAACCAGGCTACTGGCCAAATCCATGAGCCATATACGGTCCGTGTTCAGTCCTTTCATGGCCAAAAACTGCTCCGACACTTGGACGCCAATTACCTGTTGACTCAACTCCACCTCCATCTAATTTTCGGTGTCCCTTGTCTTCACAGACTCTTCCAGGGGAGAGAAGAAGGAGAGCAAGTGTCCGACTCCAGGCTGTGACGGAACCGGTCATGTGACGGGGCTGTACCCGCATCACCGCAGCCTTTCTGGGTGTCCCCACAAAGATCGTGTCCCACCTGAGAGTAGGTCCCTCTGCTTGCATGTTGTGCTGCATTGACAACACAAACTCAGTAGCACTCTGACAAGTCATTTCACCCAGAGCGGTATTTCAGTCTTTTGGTGGGGGTGGTGGTTTTATATGTGCAGACATTTCTCAAAGCGCTCTGGAGGCAGGAATCACCTTAGTGGTTGAGTAAAACATCAGATGACAAGGACACGTTTGCTGAATCTCCAAACCGTGGCCTGAATAATAAAAGGTACTTATGTAGTACGTTTTTAATGTTCTACTCTATAAAAAGAAGATTTTCCTAAAAATCCTGAAAAATAATCAAATCACTGATCAAAACATTCTTGGCTACATCAGAAGCACTGAAATATCGTCATAGCCTATAATGTCTGTGTAGATGCTCATCATCCAGGCCAGAGTGGTCTTAAAGCTGGACTTTAAGGCAGTTGGACTTCTTTTCAACTTCACAAAGACATCTCACCGTTTCCCAGAGAGGTGTCTTAACATACAATGGAGTCCCAAGTAATTAATCTGATGATATTAGTCACACTTTGGCTCATAAGAGGATGAACTACATACATGATGACAAGAGAGGTCAGCAACTCCCAGGGTTGCTGAAGGTAACCGTAGACAATAAGATTCACTAAACACAAGCTATCTGCAGAAAAAGGTTCTCGAGAATAATAAACACAGTTATTAATGAATAAATATTCTGTAGTATTTATAAATTAATGTGTATAAATGTATAAATAACCACATGTAAGCACTACATAAATCTGTAATTTGTCATCCTTCTGTGTTAAGATGTAGTTACAATATTTTTCTAGTCTAAAATAAACCACTGAGGTGTCAACGGTGACCAACGGTTATCCCATAATAAAAGAAATGGTGACAAAAAGTCTGAAAAGCCAACATGGAAAGAAAGAAATCCAATAATGAGTCTAAATTTTAAATTTAGTTAAAAAGAAGTAAAAAGATTCTCTGCGTCTGCTATTCACTGCCACATATTTGTAATACAACATGAATAATGAGTTCTAGTTTGTTTGATGCTTGATGTGACTACAAAGTTGGCAATAAAGGGAGCTGCACTTCAGTGTCACAAACCTCTTTTTTCTGTTGTGTTACATTAACGATTGAGCTGAATCGTGTTTATTTAGCTGCGCACTTTGAGGTTTTACTCATGCAGTCAGATCATTTCTGCCTCTGAGAGTTATATAAGACTGAGAGCACAAAAAACATTTCACATCAGACATCTACCCCCAAAATTTGCCCCTTAATATCTTAGAGAAACAAAATCCCATGTCTTTGGGACCAAATGGAAATAATTTACTGGTCAGAACTGTTTTTGTTTAGTTTTACTTCAAATTTGAGGAGATTTAACGAATAAATGCTGACTTCAAATGACTTGTTAGATGGATTGTATCACAGTTAAAGTCGGACAGTGCTGGCAGTGTTGGCTGTTCACCATCATGCATCTGTCCTGCATGAGTCTGCATTTGTGTTCTGTCGTGTTGGACATGTTAGATAATCTGGTTTTAACTTTGTTATGATCACGAGAAGTTGTGAACGTCTTGTCTAATCATCATGCGCGACTGAGCTTGTTTAACATATGTTTGATCAACCGAGAAGGTAGACCTTGATTGCTGCCAAACATTATCAAGGTTTTTGAGTTTCAAAACCAACTGCGCTTTAAACGTTTATATATATATAAACTGCGCTTTAAACGTTTATATATATATATGTATATGTAATCTCACTTCTATCTGTTAGAAAGTCTCTACTAAAGTATCTTATTATCTAAAGCAAACATACTGCAGTGCTGTTGTGGACACAAAGCTGCTTCTGTTCATACTCATGTTTACTGTGGCACCAGAAATAGTATTATCTTTCTTTTTTTGGTTCAATTTCGTGAACTGCTTTACTTTCTTTTCATTCTCCTCATCGCGTCTGCCTGAAGTCTTGTTTTGATTTCTGTGTCGCTGTTGTAACGTGAACAGCATGAAGAATCAGTTTGATCAACCTGCTGACTAAAAATCCTCAAAAAAAGACCTACATGAAATTACTTCCAACCATCTAAGCCTGCTTGAAGCATGCTCACTGAACTCACAGGTAAAACATTACATTAGTTTAGATGAGGCTTCATTCACCCTGGTGGAACAATTGAACACATAGACTGTATAAAAGATCGATAAGACATCAACTGTTTGTTAGTCGTCAGTCATGCATGCCCAGAGACCGGTATGTGACCCTCTAGTACCTAACGGTCACTAGGAGGAAAAAAAAGATATTCCCAAAGCTTTTTGGGAAGTGGATGCTGGAGTTTGCTGGCTGTAGCAAAGTGAAAATGATGCAAAGAAGGTGCTGCACCAAAAACCTTCTTGCTTTGGCTATATGCAGAGTACCACATTCACCCACAGTTTGAATGAAAGATGCCAAGTCTGCAAACACTCAAAACTGAAACTGAAACTCAAAAATGTGTGATGCAAACTGGAGACAAAGACCATTTCATGTCTTACTGCTGAAATCAACACATTTCACAATGTGCAACTTTTACTCTGAAGGTGAATTTTCTCTGTTTCCAGTTTTAATCACAGTTTTTTTTTTTGTTTTCTTTTTTACAATTTCCCAACATTTAGCGATTAGTTGGGGAAGGCTTGCAGATAAATTCGCAATCAGAAGGAGCTTTTCAGTATGGCACCTTATACCTCTAACGAACGAATAATGAATAATATATAATATATAATAATAATATATAACGAATTTCACCCAGCAACATCCAGCTATCTTGACCAGCCACTCGTCATAGGGGAATACACATTTTCGAGGCCTGCATGACTGGGTCTCAGCAGTCAATTTCACAGTGACTAGCAGGAGCCACTGATAGCGACTGAGCCAGTCAGAATACTCATTTGTCCCTAGTGAACGGTGGTTGCCAGGTGGTTGCCAAGTGGTTGCCAAGCAGTCTCTTGTCCTCTGTGAACGAGGCCTGTTCAGAAGCCTTGTGCTGAAGATTTTGGCGTTTAGCATCGTGTTGTTTTGAGACCAGGCATGGTGAGAGAGGACCGTATTTGATCTGTCAATCACAAGTGAGCCCTTCTGTAAACCATGCCCCGCTTTATCATCCTGCCTATTTTTCCAGTTGTAAGTCAGTCTGGTATATAAAACAAAAAGAAAAATGTATTGGCAGCAAAAACATTCAGCCTTCCAAATGAGACTTCACATCCTTTTTTACATAGAGCTTATCTTCTGTATGCAACAAGGTAAAAATGACAAAAAGAAATACCTGCATGGAGAATACAGAAAGATATTCAGACATACAGGTAAAAGCTTGCTGGGCTTTTCAATATCTAGAAACTTAAACTGTATATGAAGATTATACATATTTGAAAAAAACGATCTGAAACAGAATTTTAAACCTTCATTTATTACCAGACACATTCCTCTTCCTCCTGCGGAGTCATCAGCCATCCTTAACAGTGCATGACGAACTACTGCATCCAGTACAGTCTCATCTCATGAAATTTCATGACATGACCGCAGTGATCAAAAGGCAAATGAGAGCTGTGTTTCCTCAGTAGGAAGGGAATACTTGGGGCAATCATAACTACAAACGGAGAGCAGTTTAGAGGAAAGTTAGTGGGGAAAAAGGCAAAAAACACAGCACATTTACCTTAATCTTTAATGATATTTGTGACAAAATAAGCCCCATAAGGAGGCATGTTTCTTAAACCAATGCAAAACATGAAGCACAGCTGAATCTGAGGTGGCTACAAGGGAAACAAAGAGGAGAACTGGCGACTTCCTGCTGTTGACGCACTTTGTCTTAGCATTCATGCCCGTTTTGTGAAATTCTTGCCCACTGTCGCATCAGTCGTGCAGCTGTAATCTGTGCATGCCTAACCGTCGAGCTGAACACCCGTTAACTCTCCTGTCTGCTCCTAACCCTGGCTGTCTTTCTCACCTTTTCCTCTCTGTCAAAGTCCTTGCCATGTATGAAAATGTTTTAAAGTGCCCTACTCCTGGCTGCTCTGGACGGGGTCATGTCAATAGCAACAGGAACTCGCATCGCAGGTGAGTGAGTGGCCTTTCGCCGGGCCGCTATCAGCTGATCCACACCTCCATCGTACAGATATCGTCAGTGTGTGTGTGGTTTCAGGAGCACATCTCCAGTCAAACTACTTGCTGATGCTTAGGTCCTGTACACCATAAACTCTGATATGTTTGCTTTGGCTGAAAGGATTCTGCAAACTCATAACATGAAGTATTACTTATTTTTATTTTTGTTTATTATTATCATTTGTTAGTGTGCAATATGTAAGAAGCATTTACAAAGAAAGAGGGATTTAAGTAGGAACTGGTAACTTATAGTTAATGGTATGATATGAATTGGTTTTATCAGCATTTCACCAGCATTTCTGAACAAGTCCACAGACTGGGCATCATTAATCGCTACAGGGGGTTTGGTCATGGAGCCCTGCTGTTAGCTAAACCCTAACAGAAATACTGGAAACTAAGAATCAAAGTCTAACCACAGCATAAGTTAAATAATAGTTACAACACTAAATTGCCTCTGCAGAAGTGTTCGTTGCTTATAAAAAGTAAGTATATAAATGAATAAAAACACAAGTATGTGCAACTTTACTCCTCAGTATGAGGGAAAAAAGTATAGATAACATAATCTAAGTAAGTAAACTTCAGTGTTCCCTCTGTGTGGTTCACATAGTCCAAAAACTTGGAAGTTATGATGACTGGTAACTCACCCCTAGGCGTGAATGTGAGTCTGATTGGTTGTCTGTGTGGTTATTAAAAATAGCTCTCTGATTGACTGGGTCACCCCACCCCTCTCCTAGTATAAGCTGAGTTTGGCTCCACCACCCACACAACTCACTACAGGGTAAGAAGATGTAGCTAACAGATGGATGGAAGTACCAAAGTCCTAAATGCCTGAGTGCAAGTGAAACTCAAGTTATAAATAAGTATTTCAGGTTTTGAAAAATAAAAATGTGTTAAAAGTCTAGCATTAAAAACTGCTGCTCAATTTTACTTGTAGACTGTATATAGAAGAAGGAGAGAGCTCTTGTGACATCACCGACTTGTTTATAAAGTGCTAATCTGGGGCTTTACTGACTCGTTCAAGCTGTTGGATGGCTGTTGTTGACTGTTTGGTGCTATACAAATAAAATTGAACTGAGACTTTGTTATTTGCTAGCTTGGTCCTCAGAGTCCTTATAATTCTTCTTCTAGACTTTAATATTAACAACTTTATTTATAAAGAATGGAGGAAAGTACATAAGTACTTCAGTACAGTACAGTCCAGTCCAGAATTACACCTCCTAAACGGATTATTAACTCTGTTTGCAACATGTATGCCCAAAATGTAGAAAAAAGTAAATGAAACACATAAAAATGAATGAATTACAAATCAAAATAACGAAATGAGCACATTCTTGGTCTTGATGCTACACTCAGAAAGCAAAGGGCTATAATAAATTGTATTTATAAGTATAGCAAATTCCTGGCTTAGGGTTTTTTCACCCATTTTAGAAACCTGAATATAGAATTGAATATTTTTTTTTATTTATTTTAATATAATGCAGGAAATTTAGTAAAGCAGAATTTACATTTGATTACATTTGGTTACTGTTATGATGATGATGATATTGTTGACCAGGAGTTCAGTTTTCAGTATTACTCCAAACTTGATCAGGTGCATCCAAAGGCTGGAGACACAGATATCTTCAGTTGCAGACTATTAAAATTAAAGAACGTCTCTCATAAACTTTTTGAAGTGTTTCTTATTATTTAATTGTTAGTGGGTTACATTGTTTGTCATGTGTTATAAATGCTTCAGAAAGCACTAATAGCACAAGCATCATCATGAGGTCCAGTTGAGCGAGTCCTTACCTGTCGCTCAGAGCAGAAACAACCAGAATAAGACAAAACTTTAAGTGTAAAAAAAACATTAAAAGATTAGAACTTTGTAGAGTTAATTTAAATGGAGAAAACTGCTAGAAAGAACAAACCCAGTTTTTGTAGCTGGCTATAAACATGGACATTTTAACATGGGAGGTTGTGGTGATTGAAATCATTTTGGGGGGCAGCCTCAAGTGGCCATTAGGGGAACTGCAGCTTTTTGACGTGGTGGTTTCAGTTCTCATTTCTGGATGCTTCTGGTTGGTTATTGCTTCGTCCTTAAAACTGCATAAATATAAATAAGTGCTCAAAATCATCGTAGAATGTGAAATCATAATTAGTGTTTCTGTGTTTTATCTGCCACTGTGTGAGTTTTCCTCTAAACAAGAACAGTTTGCAAAAACAGTTTTGTTTTTAACTCAACTCTGGCACAAAAAAAGTCACATTTTCTTTCAACAGCATGCAAAATGTTGTAATGTATTCTGGTTTAGGTGGAATTGTGGAGAAGGGACTGGAGAAGGAGAACCTGCATCACATCAGCAGTTCAGCTGTTTAACAGGCAGAGCAGAGCATGAAGTGCAGGCAGCACACATATGCACACACGCACACGCACACT